AATACTCTGGTCTATCAGTGTAGACTACATCTCTGGAATTTAAAAACAAGGTTTATTTAACACATCCTCACTCTTGCTTTTATTTTTGCTTTTGTTTTTTTCTTTAGCTAAGAACATAGCAATAATCAGGTTCTTTAATGTCTTCTCCTGACATCTGTTTCTATTCGTCTGTTTCCATCAACGTTCAAATAAGAAACAAGAGAATGACTGCGTGGAACGACTAAACTGTGCCAAAGACAACATGGACTGCAGCTCTTTTCTTTACCCAAGCACTGAACTGATGCTTAGAATACCTTTCAATTTAATTGACATTAATGTCAATGTGAAAAATATAATGGAGGAGTATACTCAGGGCTTTATTGCACAAAATAATATGCCTCTTTGCTGTTCTGCTCTTAATAGAACATGCTGGTATTAGATTGGCTGTCTGCTTCAGTTGCCATTCTGCAGGCACAGCTACACCACAGAGCTGCTGCTTGAGTTATCATCATTTAAGATAATCATTTAAGCTTCATTTTCCACTTCAAGATTTTATATATGTATTTTTTATGACAGGAAACATTTCCAAACAGCTGATTTTGTAAGCACTGGAAAAACATACCAGCTTTCTTTCTGCCAGCTGACTGGTGGTGCACAGGGCCGTTGCTGTAATTATCCATGCAGACAGAGAATAGTTCAGTCGTTTCAGCTCTCTGATTCATGAAAAGACGTACAATCTGGCAAAACGATGTCACATCACATTTCGGCAGGTTTTAAGCCACGCATTTTATATCCCTAGTCACCAGGCTTACCACAGAGACATCAAAAAGACATTTCCACAAATTAAAGTCAAATTGCTTAATGTTTTGTTCCAAAGAAAAAGCTAGTGACTTATTTCTTGATGGCTGGACAAATGGCTTTTGTTTTTGCAAGTTGAGCTGTGTCATTGGGCAATTATCTGTGGGGCAACAAGAGTCAGCACAAACGTGTCTGCTTACAGATTCATCATACCATCTTTCAACTTGTGGACCAGTTTGGTGGGAGCTTAGCAAACTCTGTGGTCGGGTTTGTGAGTGAGTGCATGGAAATGAATTACATTCAAGTTTAACGTGGGGGCATATTGTAATGGAGGCTACTGGAAAACATTGGTTGTGCCACTGAAATGCGGCTGCGTGGGAGCAAAGATGAAGGTTTAGTAAGTGTGTGAGTGTGTGTGGGTGTCTGTCAAAATACAGTTGAAAAGACTAACAACCAAGGAAAAGATACGTATTAACTGACCTGCAATCAAAGAGACAGAAAAAGGAGACAAGTTTAAAAAAAAAAGCCCCCACACACAGACTTCTTAAAGATTGCACTTAGGGTTTGTGGTGTTGTGGTTCCTTCACAGACAACTTAGCCACAGGAGAGGGAAGGAAAGAACTATGAGAACGAGAGAAAAGGAGGGAGATGGAGGCAGGCATCTCCAAGGTTGGCGCGTTGGGAGTACACCTTGTAATTAACTACATCCGCTCTGTCAGCCGCAGCCAGTAGAACGGACAGATACAGACGAGAGACTCTCCAAATGTGATACACACATGGTAATTCACACATCAAAGAAAAAACAGGTGGTAAAAATGAGAACAGATAAACCAACACACATGCAAACACCCACAAACATACAAACTGCAGTTATCTTACTGGAATTCAGTCACTCCTAGACATACACAGGCTTATAATGGTGTTTAGACCAGACATCCCTGAGAGCAGTTCCACACCAAGTGTATTTACAAGCCAACTGCGGATGTCTAATCCCTTTCACAGTTTTGTTCTGTCTTTCTTTTTCTTGCTTTGATTGATGAGGAGAATGGTATGAAGAGGTCGTGTGGTGGGGTCACTTAACCCTTAATATCCTAACATTTTTTACTCTTGGCTTCTTTTTCAATTGCTAAAAGGTCCAAAGTTCCAAAGTTTATGCCATGTCCACTTCCACTGTTGGCATGTCTGTGCCTCGGCTGACCTTTAGGGGTCAGTGTTACTCCTGATGGCTGCCTACTGTGTGCCAGATTGCCATTCAGGGATCCATGCGACTATAGGTTCCGCCTTAATTCACAAAAGTGTATCACTGTCTCCTGTAATTCTTATGGTAAAACAGTAACCTTAAATTGGCTCCTCTCGTTCCCTCAAAGTGTAATCATTTTAATAAGCAATCCAAACAAGTTGATCTGTGGTGAAATGAAATGTCTTCCTAGCATTTACTTTCACCCCCATGTCTTCCTTATTATATTAGTCAAGGTGAGGAAGTAAGCATTACTGCAGTCTCAAGGAGAAGAGAAAATCATTAACTGTTGTGATCATCGCAGTGTCCCCCGTGAAATGGCAACCTTTTCGCTGAATGTCTAACTGACCCCACTGGGAAATCATTTACTCTCCACTTGCTCTGCCAGAATGTCCCGAGAGAGGTCATTTTATCTGCCTGTCTCCATTTCTCAATCGTTCTTCGCCACAAACTGCTCGCTCTGCAGTCGTTTGCCTGTCCTTTCCCAGATGATAAGAATTCTTCACTTGTGTGTGACTATCAAGTCCCTAGGGGGCTTGTCATCAGCTCTCATTTGAGGCTGATTTCATGGGACTCTGCTTACATGCTCTGTGTATATCTGAGTACCCCTAATCATACACTTGCATAGCTAATGAGACTATCCTGGGAGTCAGAGTGTGACCATCCTGCTCTGGAGATTTGCTTGTTTGACTGTCCTTCCCACGAGAATTCCTCCCTTTTGTTTATTGAACTTAATTTCTAGTCTGGCTTCACGCAGCGTAGAGGTGATGACTGACACTTCATTTAACAACCAATGTAGTCTCCCTTTCTTTTGCTTCATCTGCTCTACGTCAGACAGCTTGTCTTTCAATAAAAATGAGTGCTCATACCCTCAACCCTTTCACACATTATTGGTGTTAACAGACAATTGTTTTCTGATGGACATCCAGAGAGCCATCAAACACCTGTAGAGACGAAACATATGAATGGCCGGTGAGCAGACGAAGAAAGTGGCACACGATGCATTCTTGCGAGCCAACAGCTGACAATAATCACGCGCTCAACAGAGAATTCAACAGCCCAATAAAAGATCCCATTTCGTGAGCTCATGCATACGCACAAGAACCAGGTGTCTGAATATAGAAGGACATGCAAGACCTGACACATTTGTTGCACACAAGCTGAGACACCTCTTTCAGTCCAGGGAGAGGAAATCACAAGAGAGGGTGTTGAGTGCTCACACCAAGATCTAACAAGAACATTAGCACAAACAACAAGACTTTTAACCCAAAATGCATGTTTAAAAAAAAGAAAAGATTACAGTATTGTATATCTCACAAGACGAGAAGCAGACCTGCTTTCTCAATTTGACAATGCACATCCATCACTTGTACAGTCTGTCAATGCGCACTTTGATGCTCGGCGACACGTCTCTTGTCTCGCACTTTTGTCGGCAGCATGTTCACTTGTCAGACTGAACATCATAGAGGATCACAAAAGACCAGATTTACATTCTTTAAGCAGATGCCTGCATGCAGAAGGGCTGACATTTTCCCATCATCCCTAAAAGCTTGGCTTTGTGTGAAGTGATGTGATAGAGCCCAGGGGAAGTTTGACACGAAGCAGGTAAGTCCAACAGTCGATCTTCCCATGTCATCACAGTTTAGCCTTGGATAACGACTTGTGAAGGAAACTCAACAGAACAAATGCTGAAGTCATTGACATTTTTTATTTTAGCCCAAAGGCATGTGGAATCGTATCCATTTGGGAACTGAAAGGATGATAAAGAAAACTATACTGCCCTCAAAATTACAACTTGCCCTCCATCTAAAGAATAAGCATGTTATATAGCAGGCCTCTAAACATAAGTTGCGCTAAATGTCTTGTCTAAACATAGAGATGAATTGGTGACAGACATCATTTTCAAACCATGCTTAAAGCCAACAACTGATTCTCCCTCAGAAAAGAAAAACACTAAGATTGTCCCCCCCCAAAAAACAACTAAGATTTTGGTGACAATCAAGAGAATGAAAGGCCTTTCAACCACACACTCATGCTTTTGCCTGCAAATCAGCTTGTTCATAAATTTTCAGAGGGTGTAACGCAGAGTCATAAGACCACACTTTGAGCAGTGCACTTTCCTAAAAATTTCCCCCCAAAAAATGGCAAAAATGTTGCCAGTTATTTCTGTCCAAGTTGTCTGCTATTACATGGAGCCTGATTTAGTATAGGGTGTGAGAGAGGAGACGAGATGAGGAAAAGAGAAAGAGGGAGGAGAAGGAGAGGAAGAACCGGCGCTCCGCAGTCTCCCCTCAAAATAACACAGGAGAGAGAATAACATGTTTGCTAGATACGTCAAAAATGTCCACGTGCATGATTAATTTTTACTCTTCCTAAAATGCGCAAATAGGTGACAAAAGTTACATTTAATTGCATTCAAAGTCGTAAACTGTACGGTAAAGAGATACATCAAAGAGGACACACTCTATGTCATGAGCAGCAAGATCCCACCAGCTCTTTTTTGGGGGGAGATTTTGGGACAGAAGTCACCAAAACTAAGGCTCCGGTTTGCCTGTTCATTACACTTAACAGGGCTGTGCAGTACCAACAGAAGAAGACAGCACAATAGGAGAAATGTCACATTTAACTTCAGGCAGTTGTGCTTCCACAGCATATGGAAACAATCTCCCCATTTGTAAGGAGAATCGTGAATTCTTGGAGACAGTCAGTGTAAGTGAGAGGGAAGCAGCAAGGAAATTGGAGGAAGGAATACAGAAGGTTTTGAAGAGAGGTGGGTCTTGTGCGCTGACCAAGAGACAAACGCAGAAGCAGAAATAGACTTACTCTGATAAAGGAAAAAAAAGGATACTGAGCATGGCAAGGAATAGATGAAAAGAACATCACTAAAGAGCACCCATGGGCAAGAAAAGCAGGTCTGGTTTAAAAGCAAAACACACAAGCAATCCCCATATAACCTGGAGTCAGAAAACACAAGGAATTGGCTTACCCTTGAATGACAGCTTTAGTCTGGGAACGTTGTGCTTGGGATCAGCTCCTCTTCCCGGCTGCAAAGTGAAGCACAGCAGCACTACAGTCCGAAGCAGGTAATCCATGGTGCTGGAGTGCTGCTGTCTGGCCTCCAGACCAGGGGGCCACTCAGAGCCCGTCCCCAAGAAAGGTGTCCTCCGCTGAGGTAAGCAAGCGCTGAAAGTAGAGGTTCCAGGGAGAGAGGGGGTGGACGAATCCCAGTTGAGCTCCTGGATTTGGAGTGCAGACTGTTGGGGCAGTTCTGTTGCGTGAAGTCGGCAGAGGGGAGTACAGCTCACATGGCTCCCCGTGTGAAAATCCAAGCTGTATAGTTGACTGGCTTATCTGTCTTTCCCCAGGTGAAGACCCTTCAGTTCGACTGTGATGAGAAGTAGAGGCAGAGTAAAATAAAATCAGAACACTTATCCAGTATAACAAGGCTATCCTCTTGCTGGAGAATTTTTTTAAAATCTGTTTCTGTCCACTGGCTCCCACTCTTTGAGCAGACACTCACAACAACCCTCTAATCCTTGTGTGCAGCTCCACCAGACTGCGAGAGAGCTACACCATCCACAGCGAGGGAGGGGAGGGAAAGGCAGAGCAGCTGAGAGAGAGGGAGGGAGAGCAGGAGGAAAGAGGAGGTGGGGTATTACTTGAGAGCAGTGATGAAGGCAATGTCATAGAGAGGAAGTAGAATGGTTAAGATTTATAGTCTTGACTTTTCCGCACTCGTTTCCTTTCCTCTTTGTCATTTTTCCCCCCGTCTTAATTTATTCTCCCTCACAGCAGTGAAACCCCTTCCCTTGTGTTAATTCCTCTGCCACTAACTGTCTGATCATGAAATTTAAAGTTTAATCACTGGGTGCCCCTACCTGGTTTGAAAAGCAGAGTTAATCTACTCGAGCAAAAAAAAAAAAAAAAAAAAGAAGATAAAAAGAAATCCAGAAGAGGGAGCTACCAAAAAAATTATAAAACCATTGACTAAAAAGAATCTTTCAAATTTGTATGCATGAGTTTAAATGACAAAAAAAGAAAAAAAGGTGACTACTCTCCATCGACTGGACATGCAAGTAAGCAACATAAACTCATTTGATTGCTACCCCATGTAAAGAGCCATGTGGCCCACATCGTAAACAGCTATTACACCAAAGGATGCTTCCACTTGTAGCCTAAAGAAGTTGCAATTCAAACAGCAAGATTTCAATAGATAATCCACAGTTTCTGTCTAGTAAATTATATGTCAAGTAAATTTACTTGATTTGTAGGAGGATCTTGTTGTTTTTAAAAGCAAAATACATATGAGAAATAGAGAAAATGCTGATTCATTAACAAATACAATTTTTGATTAAATATCTTCCTCTTAGATGAGAGATACCACCAACATTATTAAAAATATCCTAGAAACCAGTTCTTTGTCTTTCCATTGACTTGTTTTGTTTCAACTTCTTCAGAGTTGTGTTTCTGTTAGCAACCGCCACACCTTCTTCTCCATCTCAATGGCTGACTCATTCTGAAGCATTCACTTTAAATAATATTATTCAGACCCGAGAAAATCCACCAAAACCTGTTGATGGAAGGCTGCTTTTTGTGATATGTGGTTTCAAAAGAGTGAGTCACAAAAAATAACAGGAAAAATTGATTAAAAACATGCCTACTTTTTCTTTCAGTTGTACAATTTTGTTTACTTTCCATGCACAGTTGCTATGTTCTTTGGCGGTTAATAGGTTCGCCATTTTAAGACACTTATCTTAGCAGGGAAAAGAAATTTGAATTGTATGTTAAATCTAAATTTATTAGATTTTCTTTTAAAAGTTTCTGAAGGTTCCTTTTATTTGTTTTCCTTGTAATTTGGAGGCTGCAGTTTTGGAGTCTTCGTCATTTTGTACTCAACTTGTTTGGGAAGAAAAACTAGCTGCCTTCCACTAGATAATTCGATCCAGTCCTTGACAATGAAAAGAGCTCTGCGTCTCAAAATCTATTACCAAGTAGGGGATCATAATTTGTCGTGTTTCACGTGGTCATCTGGCTAAAATAAGAAATATAATCTCAATTAAAATAAGACTTACTATAAAACTAATTGCACACTTTAACTAGGCCAATAATCTGGTCTAAGCCATAAAGCTGACTTGCTGATTTTCCACTTTGTTTACATCCTGACAGGAGATATTATGTTCAAAAGAATAAGATATCAGAAACATCAAATTAGCCTTAAATGTTTTGTGTCTTCTTCTGGGAGAGTAGCACACATGGTAAGAGTTGCATCTCCAGTCAGAGAACGAGGTTTAAGCGTGTTTTTGACTTTTCCAGGTGAAACCATTCAGTTAAGAGAAAAACATGCTGGTGGGTCACCTGCATAGTCTGGGACAGATCCTGTCTCTGGTAAAGTCATTCAAATCACTGATGTAGGTCAACAAAGCCCCCTTCTCTTAACCTTAGCCAGCCCCTACAGGTTGTGGTGTGTGTGTGTGTGTGTGTGTGTGTGTGTGTGTGTGTGTGTGTGTGTGTGTGTGTGTGTGTGTGTGTGTGTGTGTGTGTGAGGGCACCTCCTGCTTCCTCTAAGGGCTGACTCAGCAGTGGCGAGGTGATAAAAGCTTTGATAAACAGGGGTGATGATGTGTCAACCCAGACACATCAAGATAGTAAAGGAAAACAACCTGAGAACTGGGCTTGCTGGTCTGCTGTAAGCAACCTGAGTGTGTATGTGATATCAGGGCGCCCGCATATCCCTGCTCTTCCATGCACGTTGCGTGTTTTGAAACTATTGCTGCTGTAACATAAAGCGTATCTGATTTCACATTCTTGAGTCTGTTGTTAATTGTTTGTAGATCATATTTCAGTCAAAAATGTTGGCAGTTTTTTGGGGTACAGACTTCTAAAGCTGTTTAGTTTTATGATTGTAATCTGATTTGTTTATTAAAATACACTGTTCTGCAAAGTTTAATGTGATGATATTTAAATGTCTGCTTTAAAGCAGTAAAGCAGTTGCTGCACTAAACAAGAGCACAGCAACTTGCTTAGTTAGTTTTATGAGGCTCCTTTTTCAAGATCTATTACCATTTTGATAATTTTATGTTTGTAAATTTTATGTTTGTAAAAAATGTGTTCCACATCTAAGAACATAACACTACAAAAATATTTTTGTTTTTTTGCTAAAATTTGCACAAATGATGTAGACAATCTTCAACATCTTTAAATGTTATGTATATCTTAACCTAACTGTTGTTTATGTTGTTTATACTGGGGAAACTCTGTTTTATAGTCAACAGTGTGAAAACTCCACAAATTGGGCCCCACAAAAATTTTAATGAGACAAGGTAACCTCAGCAAATAAAAAAAGTTGTTTTTTACAAGGGAAAAAGCTATCAAAACCAACCTTTCCCATTGTGAAAATTGTAATTGACCATTAAATCTGGTTATGCCACCCTTGGAGGTAACAACTACCATCGAGTGTTGCAAATAGCTGTCAATCAGGCTTAGACATTGATGAGGAAACAATTTGGCAAATTTTAAGGAATGGTTTTAATTTCAGCCTCCTTTAAACATTAAAATATTTTTCTTAGCTATTAAGACACGGTGTACTTTGGATCAAAGACCTCCAGCAAAACCCATATATGCTTCAGATTAAAGTCATAGCATTGATTCACAGACATGCTGTCTCAATATTTTCTTGCAAAAATAAAATATTTGGCTCCATGAATTACAGCAGGTTGGTCAGGTTCTGAAGCCAGCCCCATACTATTGCAGCAGGTTTGATTATGATTATCATGCTGTTTTTGTAAAAGTCTGTGTTAGTGTTATGCCAGACATAAAAGCATACATCTTCTAAAACTTTTCAGATTCTCCTTGAGAGTCCACAGAGAAAAATTCCAAAAGCCTCGGCCCATCAATGTGGCTTTTGGTAAGTGTAAGATGGGTCTTTGTGCTCTTTCTGGTCAACAGTGCCTCTCCAACGGGTGCTGCTTTTACCTGCTCTCTTTCGTATTATTAAATTCTAATCTTTTAGTCTGAGGCAAGTGGGGCCTGCAGGTCTTTGGATGTTGTTTAATGACCTCTCGGAGGATTTGTTGATATGCTCTTGAGTAACGTTGGGAGATCTGCCAGTCCCGGGAAGGTTCACCTCTATTTTATGTTTTCTCCATTTGTGGATAATGGTTGCTACAGTGATTAGTCCCCTTCCCAACTAATAGATGTTGGTGACTTTGTTTTAACTTTTTCTTTTGAACCAAGTCGTTATGTGTTGTTGTTTGTCTTCTTGTCATGCTGTTGTCAAGTAATTTCTTCATTCCACAGATCTGTATCAAAATGAATTCATGATTTAGAGCCATGTTAGTTTGTAAAGGTTTTTATTACCCTTTAAATCAAGTAATTATTTGAAAGACTGACTAATACTAAACTGTGTTTGATGATCTGAAACATTCAAGTGGACAAAACAGAAAAAATTGTAAAAACCCTCAACCCCATTAAGTTAAAATTGCCAAAAACCTAAAAGTAGAAAATGGCAAACAGATTAAAAGTTGAGAACCTATTTCAAACAATGCCATCTTATTAATCTATTTAAAATTTCCTTTAAAATATAGGATTTGTTTTACTTGAATTATTGCCAAAAACAGGACAATCCTTTTATTGTTTTATTGCAAAATTAGAAGTATAAAAATTACTTTTTAAAATACCATTATACTTTTGAATACAGTTTTACTGATTATTTTGAGGAGGAGGAAGAAGATAGGTAAAGCAAAATTTTTGGATCAATTCTGATCAAATGTTACGCTGAAATATTCAAATATTTGTTGGTTTAGAGGCTCTCTTCTCTATTTAGATTGATCTAAATAAATTTTCATGTGTGTATTTGCATGCAACTATGCCTTCCACTGTGCCTTCACTTCAAACCTCAGCTTCCACAGCCTCATATTTCATCACCCTTTTAGTCTAAACAACCTTTTTTGTTGTTTACCCAAAACAAAAAGAAGTGCGGACAGACGCATGAAAGCACTCTCTCACTCAGCGCATCGCTGCAGACCTCTGTCTCTCTCCTCTGCCCTGATCCATGACCCCGCTTCCATTTGTCTGCATTAGCCGTACTAACACCAGCCTGGCTACCTGTGTTGATCTTCGCTAGTGGAGAGATGTGCTGAAGCACGCCCGTACGGGTCATCCTTCAGGGGAGCGCAGCAACAGTCTGGCCTATCGCTGCCGATCTATTTGCGACAGCCATTGGCACCTCGGCAGCTGGAGCAGCCTTGAGTAATGATGACTTAATAAATGGTGACACACTGTTGGCAGTGGAATGGGATGCCCATTGACAAGGAGCTTCCAGAGGCTTTCAGCGCCTGATGGTAAAAATAGAGAAGGACATGAGACACTCGGCTTGTGGGGACGAAGCGAATGGTGGACAGGCGTCAGAGTGGTCTGGGTGTGTGGCCAGTGTCAATGTGCTGTTACTGATATGTTGGTGTATCTTCATCCTGTATGCTGGTAATACTGCTTCTGCGTGTTGAGGAAAACGATTACGGTAACACAAGCCTTAATGTC